CTGGGGTATTTGCACAGGGCCCCGCCTTTATCCCAAATAAAACAGGGCTGTTTGCATTCCCAAATGAAAACAGAAGTCATAACCAACTTTGATCATTTCGTGAACAAGGGTTGTGCGCTGGGAATCCCGATCGAAAAAAATACAGCCATAAGCTAAGCTCCAAGAAGAGGACTGGTTAGAAATAGAGTTTTAAATAATAAATCAGAAGATCACTTTTGCTAGGATGGAAAAGAAATCTGGCATATGAAGACATGGAAAGGTACTGTCAGGAATAACCTTGATTAGACCTCCAACCTAAACATAATATTGTCTTAAAAAGGTAGGAAAAATTTTTTTAAGTGCTGGCTTGTAACCATTTTTATAAGAAAAATATAAAAGTAGTGCAAAGAGAATTGATTTAAAAATTAAAAGAAATCCTAGCTCAGTTTTACTCTCCCTTATTGCTCCAAACTGACTTGAGTTTTAGTACAAAAGTGGTTAGAATGTAAAAATTATTTCTTTCTAAGTGGAGAGCCAAAGCCAAAACAGAAACAATTCTCATCAAAATTTGTTTAGTTGAAATGCATTTGTTCTATCATAAACTGGGTGAAAAATGTGTAATCAGCTGTATTTGCTCTCTTCCTTCATCACTGGGCAATACTGATATTCCTTTCTGCATCCCAATAAAAGGAAGATGCAGCAGCTCCTCTAAAAAATCCAGCCACTGGAAAACAGAGTGAGACTTGCAAGGAGCAGCCTTCCCTATCACAGAGATTGAGCTTGCATCAGCAGCACTCATGACAATTAATATTATATAAGAGAGTAGATAACAAAATGTGTTTCATAGCTCTTCCTTTTAGATGTCAATATTACTTTTAGACTCCTGCTATTACACACAACCCTTTCTGTTGTTCCCCTTGCCACCTTTTGCAGTCAGTAGGGAGGAGCAACCATTTTTAAGGTGTTTCTTCTGACCCATTTTAAATGTTTGCATTAAGATGAGATAAGCTTTACTTCAGTACAGTCTTTCTTTAGCGTGAGCCATAGGAGTTCAAACACAAACAACTACATTGCACATCCTCACTGTAGATATCTGCAATTTGTCACATAAATCCCAGACAAAAAAAAATAAAACAAGACCAAGAAAGAAAAAGAGGAAAAAGGACTAAGAGAATAAACAATGCCGGAGTTCCTAGTATGTGATGTAAGCTAAAATTCAAAAGCTAAGTAAAAAAAATAAAGTAAAAAAATTGAAAATAAAAATATAAAAACTCAAACAGCATCTCAAAAAGATCTCAAATGTCTTGATTCATCTGCACAAAGTGGGTCAGAAGAAGCATGTTATCTTTTTCCCTTAATTCTAGACTGAACGGTCACCTAACTCACCAGCACTACAAGCTTGTTCTGTGTGACTGCTGTGACATCTGTTAGTGTCCTCATAAAAAATAAATTTCAAAATATATTAACTTGAGGAATGTTGCTTTAAGCTAAAGGAAAAACTGAAACCATTTTTAAATGTGTCTTCAGAGGTTTCTTTCTTTTTGAAATTACTTTGAACATTCTTTTTCCTAGTTTGGCTCAATTTCCTTCTGACTCCTTCAAAACAATTCTAAACAATTCTATTTCTTTTCATGCATGTTAAGGTACTCACAAGCACTAATTCTGGATAAAAGAAAAGGGCTTAAAATTTTAGGCACTACTGGTATAGCTGGACTCAAAGCCATCAACTCAGCAAGGGTTAAAGTGCAATTAACAGATTTATAGATGAATTACAATTACTTTAGAGTTTTTTTTATTTTCAAATTATCATGTCATACAAACTCAACAATTTGAAAAAAATTATTTTTCTTTCTTTTTTTTTTCCAGAATAGGAAGGAATTCAAACAACAGAGAGTGGAAAAGAATATTAAGAAAATAAACAATGCAGAAATCTTTCACTATGTAAGTGAGACTACTTTTTTTTCTTTGCAGTCTTTTGTCACTTTTAGACTTGATATGTTTCAGTACTTCAACTGTTGGTAAATTCTTTCTCTAAGAGTTTTAGTATTCAGTTATGCAATACTGCACTTCAGGTAATCTTATTTGTAAATGAATCTGTAGGATTGATGTTAATATGTAGTTTAATTTGTAAGGCACAATCTTGAAAAGTCATAAACTCACTTTGCATCCTTACATACTCATATATTAAAGAGGTATAGTTTATAATAAACATCTGCTTTATAATAGTGATGTGACAGAAGGCATTAGACAAGGAAAAAGGGCTTTAGGTGTGATACACCAAGCACAAATATGCACATGTATAAGCAAACTTTCAAATTATAGCTGAGTGATTTTCTTATGGCAGTCCAAGGATTATTAATACACACGTCAATGTCAAATTTAATAAAGCTGTTGCATTAATTGTAACTATAGTGTCTTGTACTAACACCTGTCAAGGTGTTTCTGGTGCAGAAAATCTTTGTCATGAATGAGCTAGATAACACAAATTATAAGTGAACTAGCCTTTTACCTCAGGAGATCCAAATTCAAAAACTGTTTTTAGTCTCAAATGAGTTGTTTATCACACCCCACTGAACCTCCAAATATGGCACAGTTCTGCATGGGTGGAAATCTGGACTCAGGAGATGTGAAGGATTGGAATATTAGGCTGTATCACTAATCAAGATTGTGGTGTATTGGCAGAGACAAGTGGGGAAGTGTATACGTGTGTACAGCAAAACCCAGCTCCTTCCCTCACAAGCCAGCACTACTCGTATCTTAAATTCCACAAGCAGGATGTTTGTTAGCAGATTTTGAACAGAAAAATAAGATGCTGCTACTAATGACAGCTTTTGCAAATCAACCACATACAACTGTCAATGATATTCTCCCATCAGAAGCAATGGTATGCATGTGAACACCAGTCAGTGCTACTTATCTCTGAAAATACTGAATATCATTGTTGAAGCCTAAATGGAAAGATCTATGGAGACTGCAATCCTATAAGTTTCAGTGTTCTACAGAACTGCTCTCATGTAAAATAAAATTATAGACAAGTATCTCATTCATGAAAAAAAAAGGAAAAATTCCCCGTGGAAAGTCAATAAAAAGTATTTTTATGCCAACAATATCATATATTAATATCTCTTTGCAGAAATTTAAATTTCATTCATCCAATTTCCACTGGAGGTAAGACACCACAGTGCTAGATCTGTGCAAAATCACGATGCACATTCATTTTTACAAAAATGCAAAGCCAGCTAAAGGAAGCTCCTGCCACATTCTTGCATACCACATACAGCACCCATGGGAGGATGGCACTATCTTTCATCAGTGAGAAGAGTGAAGAGAAGGGGCTGGCAGCATCCACACAAACTTTAGTGACTGTGCTGAAGCCACATTCCAACTTGAAGGTCTCATTGTATGTTCTTCTTTTATACACTGGGCTTCACTTTTCTGACTGGGCTTCAGCAACACATCTTTAAGAATCTGTAGGCTGAAAGTGGAGGTGCAAACCTTCAACTTCATAGCAAAATGTTTATATTTTTAGAGAAAAACAAGGAAAACCCTTATTTGCCCAGGGCCAAGTTGTCACTTTTCAGAGCCCTAGGTTAACTTTCAGCATCCCAAACAAAGATCTGCAAGGAAGGCAAGAAGGAAAGAACACACCTTCAGCAAACAAAAGGCAAGATGGCTATAAGTCAGAGAGTAACTGTTAAAGCATGCCACAATAAATCTCAAGCTCTCTATTAGTAAACATTAAATATATATCTCTGCAACTTTACTAGAACTGTCTGCTGGAAGATGACAAACAGGAGGGGAGAACAATTTTACTGTTCTTGTCCTCCTAAGGGAAACATCCCAGCTGAACAGACTGAGGTCTCCAGAATTAAGAAAGATGAAAAGAGCCTACTCAGCAGGTGGATTTTTACTATGAGGTTTTAATGCAGTAAAGCAACCCCATGGGAAAAAAAGGAAGGATATAAATCTGAGTTTTGCAATATTCAGATACCAACAGAGAAACCTAGATGGCAAACTTTTTTCTTTGTTCATCAATAAAAAACTGCCTCATTTTGCTATTAATAGGTATTTCATTATATTAATGTATACTGGACTTTGTTTAGTAGAGAAATTTCCAAATAGCAGTGTTAAATGAAAAAGACTACTGATATTACAAAAACTTTTTAGAATTGCATGTTATTCAAGAGCTATGTTATGAACTAGCAGTCCAGTAAGTAATATATATTTCATAAAAGGCCTAATACATATTTAAACAAATAGACAATTAATGCTGCAGAAGGTAAATGTGTATTCAGCTATTTATTGAAAGAGCAATCCAATTTCCATCTCCTTTAAAACAATAAAAATAATATCTGCACAAACTTATACAGAAATGAATATTAAAACCAACTCAAAGGCCACAACTCCTTAATAATAAGCAATAAATAAAATTCCAAATGAAGACCAAATGCTGTGCTTACTTATGTTTATTATGGAAAAAGACTGTATAAGAAAATAAGCTGTCGTAATTCATATGCAGTGTTTTGTAGCTAGCATATTCTTCTGCAACAGCACAAACCAATAACCAATGTTTTGACACACTGATTTTGTAATGGAGTAAGAAACAGAGAGTGAATAAGTAATGTGTAATCGGTAAATAAAAAGCACAGAGACTTAGGGAATACAGATCACGCCATTCAGACTAAGTTTTCTGATGTTTATTTATGTTTATATTTACATTGTAAAAATCAGCATTAGAAGGCTAGAGATACACACATATGTACACATAAATTTGTGTCTGCCTTCTACCTAAACAAGGAGACGTAACTATGATTTCTATCTCAAAGAGAAACTGGTAATAGAGTCAGGTTTTTCTTTGATAATCATTTTTTTTTGTGAAAATGTTCAGAATCCTACTTTTCATAACAAAGCAGGAAATTAGCAAGAAATAATGAAATTTTAAATGTATTAAACATTGCTTTTGGACACAGTTGTTTGTGCTACTTTCAATCAGAATTTTTCTCAAAAGCTTTTAATCTTACCTTTTCTTCAAGCTGCACTCTCAGGATTTGTTCAAAATACATCTGATCCTTGCTTACAGCCTTGTCTATCTGCTTCTCTGAAGTTGCATCTCTCACAGATATACACATCTTTAAAAACAGTAACTAGCAAAGCTTCTTTATCCATATGGGCACATGTACGTGCTCTCAGTGCTTTGGATAGTGACAGGTGGCTGAATTTGGGGTGGGGAGAAGCTACTGTTTCTACTATCTGGTTCCATAAAAGGTCATAGCTATTGATTACAATTATCTTAAATGAACTGAAAGTGGATTTTGGCTAATGAATAAAAGACACAGATGTAAAAGTATACTTTAAAACAATTCATGCAGAACTAACATTATGGAAATACTGCAGTTATTAGAGGTAAGAGAGACCAAAAAAAACTCTAGAAGTTTGACATTCTCTTTCAAGGAACAAAGAAAAGTTCAAATTTAATAAAGGTCAATCAAGAATGAATCCCAGACATTGTTCTAAGATCATACAGTCACTAGAATGGCCACTAAGTGAGTACACTCAGTGGTCATTAAAGAGAAAAAGAGGTCACAAGTTTTTACTGAAATACAGCTAAAAAGAACTATGTGAGTCTTTTAGAAAAGTGAAAAGAAAACAATACTGAAGTATTTAGACAACTCAATAATTATTTTTTATTATATATATCAAAAAAGATTTCTGGTAGATATTTTTTAGGGAAATGCCTACCTTAGTTCATTTACTGTCTTTTGATTCTAATCTCACAGAATGTTCTAAGAGTCAGAAAGCTCATGTCTTGATCTAGAGAGAAAAAAAAAAAAAAGCAGACGAATATCTGTATCTCTGGAAAGCTTTGGAGAAAAACCGAGCAACAGATTTCAAATTAAACAATCAAGCATGCAGATTCCTGGGACTAATGAACGTGGAAAACATTGCAAGTGATAAAAGGTTATGAGTTTGTTTTTGATGTGATTAAGTCTGTGATCGTCATGCCAGCCCAAAATGGCAGGAAAGAAATACAAGGAGTCCTTTAAATGGTAAAGTATGAAAGAATATTTGTAATGAGAACAGGAGTGCTTCTGTGGAAAGAAAGTAAAAGACAGATATTTGCAAACCTTTGTAAACACTCTCAAAGGTCTGAAGAGTCCCTAGTCCAAAGGTGTTTTGACAGTGAAAAAGAAATTAAGTTGTCTCCAGATTCACATGCAGTCCGATAAGAGTAGTCTAGTCCCAACCGCCTAATGAGCCGTAATCCTTTATGAAACCTGCCTGTCAGTACGGCCAAGCACAGGAGGACACTCCGTGTAGCCTTAGTTACAGGATATGGCATGGCTCGCGTCTTTAATCGCAAGACACCAACCACATTTGAAAACAAATTGTTTGTTTTGACATGTATTGTTAAAACTTAGGCATGTGAAACTCCAGCAGACAGGATCTCCCCCTGGAGGTGCTCACAAGCATCTACTGCCTTTTAGTCACTTTAGGGAAGTGAAGCATGCATTTTTAGAAAACTTGTTCACTAGCTGCTAAAATGCAGTTGACAGCAATGTGACTAAGCTGTAACAAGTGGATGCCATTCCCTAAAAATATTTTCTTTTTATTATGGTGATCAGATCTGCAAATCAAACACAAGTCTAAGAAAGATTGGAGGGTTGTGTACTCTCTCTCCAGAACAGTTGACAGGAGTGAGATAGAACTGATTAAAGTGTACTGGTACATCAAACTGAATTTATAACAAGTACCCTAGCAAGTATGGAGATCGTGATCCTCAGAATAATTGCTCAGGAGAGGGAGCTGCAGAAAGTGGTCCTAACTCTTAAGATTGGAATGGTTATCACCTGTTACTAGTCTTATCTGAAGCCAGAGCTCTCAGTTTCATGTGAAGCTCTTTAAAGATACCACACATGGTGAACTCCGGGGTAACACAGGGAAAAAAATGTTGAAAAGATGGTTGGTAAGACCATTTAGGCCTACCAAAACAAAAGACAATGTTTGGAAACAATATCTGTAAGGTAAATATTAGTGTTTACCTCATGCAACAAGAACAAAAAAAAATTCTAGAAAAAGAATTTATATTTGTGACAGGAGGAACAGCACATGGAACACAAATCAGGCACAGATTTGTTTATGTTAACTGAAGAAATTCATTGCTCCTATGCTTGTAGTCTCATTTCCCTGAGCCATCTTTGCAAATGGATATTACAGCTGACTCCATGGTTTTGTGTGTTGTATTCACTCCTGCCAAACACACTATGCTTAACACAGTCACATCTAAAAATGGACAGGAGGATTTTGGTTACAGACAACAAAAAATCTTGCAGAGGAGTTAGATGCACCCATACACATGAGGGTAAGCAATTTGCAGTGCCTAGATCTAAAGGTGTTACTTCTTGTTTTCTGTCTTTATTTTTAAAAGGTTAGACAAGAGGTTTTTTTCGGTTGGAAAATATCTGAAAATATAGCTCAAATTCAAAAAGCTTGTGAAATCAGCCTCTGATCATCTTATAATTAAGTTGAAGGATAACATCAGTGAAGCATTACATCTTGACAATTTATTTTTTATGAGAATTAATTACAAAAAAATGAAAACAAAACTGTCTTTCATGTAAGAAACTTATAGCAAAAAAAAATTGCGTAAGGATGCAAGGGCAAATTCAAATAAAGAAGTGATAAGAATGGCAAGCTGCCAACAATTAATGTAAAAGTTAAATGAATCTTGCACATAACATCTCTTGCACCTAAATAATTTTCAAATTAATTGTTGTTCATCAGACAGGATGATAAAATGGGTAAAGCTTTCTCAACTTTCCTAAGAAGGAAAGAAGGAATGCTGTCTGCCATCTTGGCTTAGATGCTTTCAGCAAGGGAACAATTTCATCAGAATAAGTCAAATAAGAAATCATGCTATCTATATGAACAGGATAACTGGGTTTTGCCAATAGCACTTTCATATCTCCAGAGAAACTTGCAAGTACAAATTATGACTGAGCAAACCCTGTAAGGCAAAAAAATTAAGATGAAAAATGAAGTTATAAGCAAATTTAAACTACATAAGTATTGCTCAAGTGAATATGTTGAATTTAGAAAAACTAAGATACTTGAGTGTATTTTTCCATTTTGAAATTAAAACTGAAATGAAAAATGTTAAGTTGAACTTATAAAACCAGATATTTGAAAAAGGGAAATACCTTCATTTTCAGCATAAAATTTTTTTTTTTCTGAAAACAAATTGTCAGAACCTTTCATTTTACTCAGAGCAAATCTAAAACATTCTACTTAAAATGAAACAGAATGCATTTTATGGAATGTTGTGATTTAGCCACAAAACTAAAAGAAAAAAAGCAGTGTGAAGTTTTCATACTCACCCTTTTTTATTTAAGTGGGAAATGCTTTTGCAGGCATTACACTTTTCAGGTACTCACAATACGTAAATGAAAGTTACATTACTCAAGATGAAGTAATACAGACATAACTTTTACTCCAACACGAGTGAAGAAACTCTGCTTACCATCCCGTTTTAAGACAACAAGTATGTACTTGATGAGCATCCCAGCACTGACATTCAGCAGATAATGTTTCCAGGTATTCCAGTATTTCACCAAAAATATTAGCAGAATATTAACTGTTTCATCATGGAAGGAAATTTTAGAAGCCATTGGTCAACAGCATGAATATGAGTGAGCTAACGAAAGACTCTTTCTAAGTCCCCCCACAGTACTAGAATAAGGAGGCTGTCTTTTTGTGGAACCTTTCACCCTGAATTTCAGAGCTTTAAAAGCAAAGAGGAGAGATTGATAGACTGGCACAGTGTTTGAGTGTGTGGACAGTAATGTGCATTGGATAACTGCAGGATCATTGGTGGGGCTATATGTGGCACAAAAGTCATGTCTCACCTACATGTAAGATTTTACAAGTATTATCACTGAAGTTCTTTTAATAATATGTATCCTTCTTCACAGAATTTATCAACACATGGGAATACAATAGCTTGTTTTTATACAGCCTACAGAATGTAGCATGACTTGTCCTCAGGAGCTGAGCCTAAGGTATAAATCAATAGATCCCTGCTAGTGTGATCAAGAGCCTATCTTTCAAAAATACCAGGAAAGAAAAGACCCCCATACACAGAAACAGTATTTGCAGCTCTCCATCAGTGTTGCAGACACTGGTCCCCAAGGCTTTGTCAGGTTTTAAACAAAAAGAAAGGCAGATCAATAACACAATGATCAAAAAAAAATTGAAAGGGTTCCTCTCTACAAAATAAACCCCAACATATTATTGTTATTGTTACTGCTATTTCAGCTATTATTAAATATTTTGGATAATGTTTTTATAATGCATTCTGAAGGGTTAATACAGAAAGACCTTACCTATTCTATCACCAAACAATGGGTACAATTGAGATCTTAATGAGAGCCTGTTTTCATTTATCCAATAAAGTTTAATTTCCAGTTGTGTCAAACCTTAAACTATGTATTAATGGACTGGGAGGAGGGTAACATTACTGTAATGAGAATTTGGTCTGTGTACTTTCATGCCTGCAAGCCTATTCCTCACACAGGTTGCACGTCATCACATACTTAGGAGTGCACATATCTGTCTAAATAGAAACAATCTTTACCTATGTTTGTGGCACTCTCAAGATACCAGTTATCATAACAAATAGCAAAAAGAAAAAAAAAAAAGAAAGCCCAGGTGGTATTTTACCCTGAAGTATTAAAAAATTTACTCTAGTCAGTATGAAAATACAGACCAGCCTAATGAAGCAGTCAGTAGCAAATCAGGACATTTCAGGCATGTCTCCAACAAACAACGGAGTATGGTATGAAAACACTGGAACAGCCTCATTACCAAGGTTATCTCCTAGCAAGAAGGGGTACAGAACTATCAACAGAGCACATTTTAAACCTATCTAGCTCTGCTGAGAAGCTGGGATTGCTGGCTCACTCACAGCTGTCACTTCCATCATTGCTTGGGTATCTGAGCTCATTCCTTGGCACAACTCTGCTCTGCAGGATGACACACTAAGTACATGAGCTCCATTCAGGGGGTATCTCCAAAGCCAACATGTGGAAATATTTCCCACTTTTATAATTGACCCTAGAGAAATCTTGAGTGTGCTCTCCCAGTCACTATCATGTGCCACACCATGCAATAGTTTCCTTGTGCTTTTT